ATGATGTGCAGATAAGTTGTAGTTGTTTATAATTTATGTATTATTACATATTTATGCTGATTCTTTTCACTAGCTTACCCTTTGTTGTTTCCATGTGGTTTGGACTGCAATGATCATACTATGTATGGGAGCAGAGCAGGGATAGGTTGGTGTGTAGAGGCAAGTCTGTAGCTGACCGATGCGTTGGAAATACTTTTGATTTTTTGCTGTTTTAGCTACTTAGTGTAGCAATTGGACTGTATTTTGTACTCTGATTTTTAAGCCCCAGGCTAGACATATTATATATACTTTATTTGGATATATGTATGTTCTATTCTGCGTGGTACTGTGTTGGTTGTTGTGTAACGGCCAGGCAGGTCGTTACATAGTGTGAGTGTAGATTTTAATATTTCATTTTTTCCCTAAGTTCGTATCTTATATTAATCTCTATTTTCATACTTGATAGATATAAAATTTGTATTTTATCTTTGTTTCTGTCAGGTATCAGGTATAGTCATATCTGTCTAAAAATTAATTAAATATCTTTTTAAAAAATATAAAAAATAAGATTTTCAACATAGAGCAACAATTACAAAATCACATCAATTAAGTTTCATCTTAGATAAATTTAAAATAGCGTAAGAGTTATATAAATCTCAACTAAATTCTAAAAAAAAAGTAAATTAAGTTTCTAAAAATTTAAAGTGGGAACGAATACAATACATGTCTTCATACCTTATTTAATAAATCTGGTATTAATTGTACTTGTACCCTATCAAATCATTATTTTTCGATCCCCGGCAACGGCGCCAAGAAACTTGTTGGTTTTATAGGCAAGCGCACCCAAGTCTCTGTAGTATAATTAAAAGGTTGTCGAATCCTCAGGGACTTGTGAAGTAACCTATGATTTCTATTATACTAATTGATACTTGTAAATTTAAAACTTGAGTAATTACACATGGTCAAATTTGATGTGAATGATAATGCAAACTTAAGTAACCAAAAGATTAGATTTAATAAAACAGATATGAGAAACAGTTTGGGATTAAATTCGTCAATCTCCCTCCTATGTATTCCTAATGATTCTATCAAATAATTCATTACTCATTGCCATTGAGTTCTTTATTTTCATTCAAACCCAATCCCTTGACATAAGAAATTCTGAGATATTTAACTCAATGAATGATTCTTCACTTCATTCAGTTCAATATCCCGCATTAAGAATCAGAACTTGTTACAACTATTAATTTCAAGACCATCCCTCGCTCTCAAAACTAATAGGTGATTTGTCTCAAGTCTAGATTCAGAAAATGTTTTCCAACCAAATTCTAAATCAAAGATCAAAGATAAATGATCAGTTTATCAAAGCATTAAGAACAGAATACAAATCACTAACATTGAGTAATAGATGAGATATATATATAAATCAAAGAGGAATACACAGGAGTTTGATGACTACATTAATCATAAACCTAGAGCTTTAGTTCTCCATGGTACAAGAAATCATTAAACAACAAGGAGAAAGATAGAAGAAAAAGATCCTCTAAAGAATCGCGTCCCCACGAGCTCCAAAGTGCTCTGTTTCCTCGTTCCTCTCTGTTCTTCACTTCGTACAACTTATGATAGCCCTTTTTCTCTCTCCTCTGCCCTTTTATAAGTGCTAGAATTAAAACAGAGTAGGCAGGAAAGAGAAGAATTCGCTCAGCGTCTTGAAACGGCTGAGCGGTTTGAAGAATTCTTTACCATGAAGTAATCTGAAGGGTTGAGCCGTTCAAATCCGCTGAGCGCCTTGGAGATTCTTCACTGTTAAGCAAGGACAAGGGGCTGGGCGCTTCATATCCGCTGAACGCTTAGGAGGCAGAGAGCACTCCTTCTTCCAAGGCCAAATCCGCTCAGCGCCTTAGAGTGGCTGAGGTCCTCTCCTTTGCTACTTTTTTTAACCTCTCTGCCTTAAAGCCGCCCAGCCATTTAAAGGCGCTCAGCCGTTTGCCTCCAGATTCAAAAACTTGAGCTCTCTGGCTTGAAAGCGCTCAGCCGTTTCAAGGTGCTCAGCCGTTTGCCTCCTGATTCAAAAACTACAAAATAAGAGGAAAATCTGATCAAAAACTCATCACTCCATGTAATAATGTAAATTAAGAGCCCCTTTTTGATTCTTAATGTATTTGCCAAAATTATATCAATATATATACAAAAAGTGTGCTAGATAAGTGTCTCAAATTTAAATTTCATCAAACTAATTAGACACTTATCACCCACGAGTATGAATTTATTTGTCATCTCTAACATATCATGTTGTAATGATATTTGTTACTAAAAATTATTTTTACTTACACTATAAATACAATATATGTTAATATGTTATTAAAAAGTATAGGTATAATTTATTGTGACAAACAATATATGTTGTTGAATCTTATTTAAAATCAACATTAAAATTATGTGTAGTTATATGTTAAATAGAGTTATATATTCATATATTACATTCATAAAGACACTTTTATATGTTACTTTATGCAACATTTATTGTAATGGTCAAATAGCATAACCTCCTATCAAACTAAATAATATTTTAAAAAATATATTTCATTAATAATTTCCTTAATTTTTAATTTCCATTTCATTTTTCATTTTGGAGTTTAAATAAATATTCTAAAATTTATTAATAATTACACAATTTGTTGTAAGATAACCATTTTTTTTCATTGATGTATTAGAGCCTAGAGGTGCAATGTAATTCAATTTTCATCCATCACTTAATTTAACCCTTGAATCTAAACTGATTTTCAAAAGGAAAAAAGTGTTTTCCATTTTCCTATTTTAATAAAATTAGTTATAATTTCCATTTTCTTCATAAACAATTTTTTAACAAATCACCTACTTTAAAATTGGTTTTCATCAATATAAAGACGATTTTAATTTTCATGCTAAAGACAACAATTATAAATATATTGTCAAGCTTTCTAACGGTGTAATAAAGAACACCTTAAATAGATAATTATAACAAAAGATATATTGCTGTGAACTTATGTTGTTTTATAATCTTAATTTTTTTTTCATAAGCATAGATTTTGCATTAAAAATGTCATCTGTAGAATAGTTGACTTCCAAAATGAAGAAAGGATTGCATTTTTTTTTGGTAAAAAATTATAAATTTCGCATTAAACAATATATACCATCTCTAAAAAGTTAAATGCCAAAATGAAACTTAGCATCTATTATTTTACTGCCAGACTTTGCTTACGCCATAATTTTTGCCACCAACCATAATTTTTTTTTATATCATTCAGAAATAAAAAAAAAGCATGCCACCAACCATATTCAATATGACAAAAAATAAATCATGAAGAATCAATTGCACAATACTTTATCGCTCACGCTCTTTGGACGACAATAAAAATCAAGCGGCAAGAGGGATTGAAATAATACTGATAACACATTTATTAAAATTTAATTGTTAAAGTTTTTGTACAAGATATTTCTAGAAATCTATTAATGAATGATTTCTACCATGTAATTTAAGATCTTCAATTATGAAATATTTAATGTATTACTAAATTCTTCATTTTTCAAAGGTGAACAAATGTTTCATATTTTATAATTTTTTTTCTTAAGAAGTATTTAAGAAATAATTTTTTTATTATTTATTTAAAAGTATGAGTCATTTGATGAAGCTTATAAAAGTTTTACTTTTAATAAAACAAATATTTAAAAAATCACATTAAGAGTCAAATATGTCATTACTTCCTAAAATTAAAATTACAAACTCAAGTTAATATTTCAAATTAAAAAAAATGAATTAGTCTATTATCAACTATTATCATTTTTTTAAAGAAAGGTTAAATTGCACATTTTATCCCTTTATTTTTTATTAATATGCAAATTTGGTCTTTTATTTTAAAATAGAGACAACTCTGTTTTTTAAAAATACATATTTTTGGTCATCTTATCAAATTGACATATACTAATCCTTTACTCATACTTAAATAATATAACATTTAGTAACATTACATTTATAAATAAAAATATTGAAAAAAATACAAATAGAATTGTTATTAATAAAATATTAATCGCTCATAAAAATATATTCATAAGAAAACACCTTTTGCATGTTATTTTTAATTTTTGTCCTTAAATATCACGTCACTAAATATTACATTACTTAAATAGTGATAGATCAGTTGACAATGTTAAAATTTAATGATACACAAATATCAAATTAATGGGATCAAAATTTTGTATTTTAAAAATAAAGAGACTAATTATCTTTATTTTAAAACAAATGAATAAAAACTATGGATCGAGAAAAATAAAGAGATAAAAATATAATTTTAATATAATTTAAAAAAATGATAATCTATGATAATATTTATTAACTAGTATTTAATTTTTTTACTTGTAGTACCATAATTGAAATTAACTTTTAGTGTTGGAGATTAATTTTGCTTATTATTTTCAAATTTAAACCTAATTTTAATACTTGTTAAAATAAATTAATTTCAATAACAGTTATCAATATTAAAATCTAAATTCAATATAAAAATATTAAAACCTAAAGTCATTAATTTAATAAATATCAAAAGTAAAATTCGTTGATAACTATATTGGTATTAAATTCAATAGTAAAGAATTAAATCTGTTGTTTAATAAGATTACTTTTGTTTAATAGTCACTTAAAGTTATTTTATATAGATTAAGAAATATAATAATTTTTTCTATTTTTTATATAATGATTTAGATGTTTCTTATTATATTTTTATTTATTTATTTTTCATAATAAATAATATATTAATTATCATGTATAAATTAATTAAAAATTAAATAAAATATAAAAATAATTAATAACATAATAATTAATATTATTTAAAAAATTTAAAAAATTTTACTACTAGAGAGACTAATATATAGAATCCAGTGGATGGATTTGATACATGTACTTTATTATATGTAATAGCGACCAACAAGAATGTTACACAAGACAAATGTCACGCGCGTGAGATTCCATAAAATTTTATTTTTCAATGTTCCAACTTCCAATCGCGAAAGGAAACAAATCCACATTGGATTCATTCTCTGCTGACACATTTTCTCTTTCTCTCTCTACACTTTCCTCTGCTTCACTTCGCCGACAAGAACTCTCAGGTAAAGCACTTCGCTAGTTTGAACTTTCAACACTCTTTCCG